GCCACCACCGAGCCTCCAAGCCAGTGCCCACCTGGTCCCCTGACTTATCTTCCACCGCCCCATGAGCCCAGACTCTCTCCCAAAGCTGTCCTCAGGGGTCCCAGCACCAGCCTTGGCTCCCACCATGCCCTCCTGGGGGTGCTGTGCCTGCCCATCGCTGCCTGTGAAAACCCAGTTCAGTCTTCAAGGCCCCCGTCCAGGGCCTCTTCCGTACCGACCCACTGTGTGCTGAGCGTCTCCCATAGCACAGTGATCCTGTAAAAACATGTACCCATTTTACAGGTGTGAAAACCGAGGCACAGCAAGTGAGGGGACTTGCCCATCGTTCCCCTGGGTCACGGACTGTGCGACCTTGGACAAGTCACGTCACCTCTCCACAACGGTGAGTAAGCCTCTGACTTGCAGAAGGTAGTCTGGGCTCCCCAGGTGGAGACACCCCTGGAGGCTCCTGTCTGCTTGCCAGGTCCCCCTAAAGACCTATGCCGGGCCAGGGAACAAGTGACCCAGTTCCCCTGGACCATCCTGGGCGCTGCTTGCTGTCCCAGCACAATCATTCTATCCAACGTGTCTCAGTTTGGGTAATGAATCCAGGGTCCCCATGCCCACAGTGGCGGTACTGATGCTTGGGTCCTTTTCTGGCAGGTCAGGGTCCCAAGACCCGCCCATGACCAAGAGGTGGGGGGACATTCACAAGGTTAAACTCCACTGACCCCGGGAGGCTGAAGAGTCAGAAGGGATTTCTAGCTGAGCGAGAAGAGCTTGGCTTCTAGATTCCAGCCAACTCAGCTCAGACCCCCGGAGGACCCCGTGAGGTGCGGTAGAGTCCCTGAAGCCCCAGGACTCTTCCTGTCCTGAAGCAGGGGAGCCTTCAGACAAAGTCACTCTCAGCCATACAGTGATGGCCATGGGGTCACAAGCAGCCCCACTGAGCCCGAAATGAGCCTCTTACTCAGGGCTCGGGCCGGGGGTCGGGCAGTACAGGAGGGGTGGCAGGAAAAGGAAAACCAGCGAGCCGCCCTGTCTCCCTCACTCTTAGAGTGTGTTAGCTGGAAAACGTTGCGGGGAGCTCCTACGAGGCCACAGAAAGGAACTCGTCTGTGATGGATTGAACTATGTCCCCCAAACTCACGTGCTGGAGTCCTAGCCCTCAGCACCTCGGAATGTGACCTGATTTGGAGAGAGGTGACTGAGTTAAAGTGAGGCCATTTGGGTGGGTCTGGATGCAGTATGACTGTGGCCTTATGAACGGGGAACTAGGGCACAGAGACGCACAGAGGGAAGATGGTGTGATGCACAGGGGAAGGACGGCCATCTGCAAGCCAAGGAAGCCATGCTGGGAACACCTTGATCTCGGACTTTTGGCCTCCAGAACTGTCCAAGAATAACGTCTGCAGCATTTGTTACGGTGGCCCCAGGAAACCAGCCCTGTGGGGAGAAAGCTGGAGCAGGGCCTGGGACATGCCGGCTCCCCGCTCCCGGTCTGAGCCTGTCTTCCTCCGTAGAGTGGGACAGTGACGCTGCCCCAGGCTGGGCTTCTGGAGGCTGGCACATGGCAGGGGCTTGGCAGGGCTGGTGTGTGCTGGGTTGGGGGGGTTCCTTCCAGAGGCAGAAGCTGGGAGAACACGGCAGTGAACAGCCCCCTGGAAGCTCAGGCTGCCCACAGGGGCGCCCAGTTACCCTTCAGCTTGAGTTTCTAGCAACTCACAGACCCTTGAAGCTTCTAGCAGCTGGTCCAGGTGCCCTGGCCACCCACGTCCCTGGAGGGTGTTATTTCATCGCCGGAAGAGCAGCCCTTCCTGACCGGAGAGGTGTCTGAGGATCTCACGGGCAGCATTCCGGAAGGTCAGGGCTTAGTGGGCACCTGGGCCCATCCCCTCTCCCCACACACAGGGGGAGCCACAGATGGCAAGTCTGAGGCCAGGCCAGGACCGGGGCTTGGGTCTCTGGGCTCCCAGGCCAGTGCGTGTCCCTGGTGTCACCTTGCCGTGAGCCAGGGCGGCCACCACTGGACCAACAATGTATGCCTCGGGCCCAGCACACAGAAGATGCCCCATAAAGGTTCCTTAAATCTAATGGGAAACAGGGAATGGCATTTGGTGACTCGGAGCACAGTACAGCGCCCTGCGGGGGTGAAAATTAATAGTCTGAGTGACAATATCTATCGTCTTTCAGCTCTTGTGCCCAGACTAAGGGCCAGGCACTGCGCTGGGTGATTTCCACCCATGACCCGGGTCACAGAGCTGGAAATGGGCACACAGCACAGCTGGGACTGGAACCCAGGCCTGCAGGATCCCAAGCCCCAGCTGTCAACTCCCACTGAGAGGGTCTGTGAGGGCTGAGCTAATCCCGCCAGGGACCCTTACTCTCCAGGCTGTGTGCAGTGAGACACGGCAGTGTGGGAGCCCATATCGTACGGATATGTATATATATACATAATAACGCTTTCAAGGTCCACCCCCGTTGCAGCAGGTGTCAATGCTTCATTCCTCTTAATGTCCAAATAACTCTCCACTATATGAACATACCACATGGACCCATTCGCCGTTGGTTTGGGGCTTGTGTCCACTTTGGGGCTGTTACAGAGAAGCCACTCTGACCATTCATGCACAGTCGCTTTTGTGTGGACACGTTTCCCTTTCTCGCTGGGTCATACGGTAACTGTTTAACCATTTGAGGAAGTGCCAGACTATTTTCCTGAGTGGCTGAACCATTTCACCTTCCCACCAGCAGCTGCTCCACACCTCTGCCAATATCGGTTACTTTTGGTCTGTTTCATCACAGTCACCCTGGTGGGTGTGAAGTCTGTCTCGCTGTGGTTTGGATCTGCACTTCCCGGTGACTAATGATGTTGAACATATTTTCATGTGCTTGTTCACTATTTGAATATCTTCTTTGGAAAAATGTCTATTCAGATCCTTTGTCCGTTGAATTTGGTTCTTTTTCTGACTGAGTTTATAAGGGTTGTTTACATATTCTAGATACAAGCCCCCCATCCGATATATGATTGGCAAACATTGTCTCCTATTCCGTGAGTTGTGTTTTCATTTTCCTCACAATGTTCTTTGCAGCACAAGGGTGCTTAATTTTGACGAAATCCAATTCATCTATGCTTTCTTTTGTTGTTTGTGTACGTAGTGTCATTTCTAAGAAACCACTGCCCGATCCGAGATCACAAAGGCTTATCCTTATATTTTCTTCTAAAAGTTTTATAGTTGTTTTTTTTTTTTTTTTTTACTTTTAGCTCTTATTATAATCTTACATAAATAGAATCACATTTCCCTTACTGCTATTTTTATCACAAGATGCCATTTCTTCATCGGTGAATCGGGAACAGCAGTGCTTATTTCACGGGGTTTGTGCAATTTTTAATATTATATTGTTTTGCCCTTTGCCCATCATCTGTGAAAGCACAACAGGGAGTGAAGGGCATTGCGTTCTCAGCTGAGCGGGGAGACCTGCCCAACCACCGCATGGAAATTCCATTTGAGAAATGAACATCGTCACATGTCTCAGCTCCTGGAATCTGCCGCTATTTTCAGAACAATCCAGTACACTGAGCAGGTCGGGGGATGTTACCTGACCCCAAGCCAACTGGTGCTCTAAATCCTGGAGTGAGACCTCCACGGGGGGCTGAGCCTGGCCAGGCCAGGGGCCACCCACAGCTACACGCTTTGGGGGGACAAAGATGGAGGGTCTGCGATGCTGGTCCACAGCACCCTGGGAGGGAGGAACGTAATCACCCCCATTTTACAGAGGGGGTCCTTGAGCCCCCCCGCCCCCGGAGCGGGAAAGCGCCCTGATCAGGGCCACAGTGAGGTCAGGCCAGAGGCAGGGCTGGAAGCTTCACTGGTCTGGCTTCAAAGCCACTGCTGCTGCCCCACCCCAGAGCTGCCTCCTTCAATAAAAATCTCCTGAGTCTCTCAGTGTGTGGGATGCTGACGGGGACATATGAACGAGGGGTCCCGGATCCTGCCTCCGGACAGACTCCACAGCCAGAAGGGAGGACGCCAGTGAGGGCAAGGCTCTGCTGTGGCTGCCCAGAGAGGAGGGGTCCGCTGGGCACTGAGCCTCGCGCCCGGACGGAGGCTTGAGGACCAGGGAGCATTTCAGGCTGGAGGCTGGGCCCCAGCTGGAGCCCCTACACACCTTGGGCTCACGGAGGCTCCACCCACCTCTCTGCTTCTGGGGGTCCAAGCTCCTTTCCCTGTCCCTCCCCCTCCCCTCCACCATCTCACTCTCCCACCCCGACCCTGCCCCAGAGCTTTCTCACCGTGTCAACAGGTGGGGTTTGAGTGGATTACAAGCTACTTATTGTTTCTGTCTAACTAGCTTGATGGGCCCTGTTCTTTGCGTCAACACGGGAAGGACTGAAGTCTTTTACGATATTCCTTAAGGCCGGTTTCTCAGCCTCGGCCCAACTAACATTTTGGGCTGGACCCCTCTTCTGTGGGGCCGCCCGGTGCACTGCCAGATGGTGAGCGGCGTCCGTGGCCTCCATCCCCCAGGTGCCTGTGGCACCCCTACCCCCGCCAAGCTGTGACCATCAGAAGTGTCTCCAGACGTCGCCAAAGTCCCCCCGGGGAGCAAAGCCACCCTTGGTCGAGAACCAAGAACCGCCTTTAAGGAAAGAAAGGGAGGGCGGGAAGGCGCAGAGGCCGAGGGCCCAGGGACTCGGCCAGACTATAGGATCCAGCTGCAACATTCACCATGGTGCAGTGCTGGACCAGACCCTCCCCGTTCCCCAGTCTCAGCTTGCTCATCTGTAAAACGGGTCACTGCACAGGGCTGTCATCAGCAGTTCACAGGAGTCCCCGAAGCCAGGCATACAGTCGGCGTGCGTGAGTGCTGGTCCTCTGTACCTTTATAAACAGAGGCAGAGCTCACACTGCCCCCCTCGTGTTGGACCCCGAGCTTATTTGGGGGACTGGAGACTTCTAGTTAGAAAAGAAGCCATCCTCTTGGGCTGATGGTCCCAGTGGACAGGGCAGTGTGGGCCTTACCTGTCCCTCCTCCGGGCATCCCCATGGACTGCGGCCTCCACCCGAAAGGCCAGGACCCTGGAGGCTGCCGGCGGCAGCTGGGTGAGGGCTCGAGCCTCTGAGGCCAACATGGCTCCAGAGGGACATGCCAGAGGGTCACGTGGCAGCTGCCCACCCTCATGCCCGAGGAGGGACGGGCCAAGCCCTTCCCAGCACACCGAAATAGACTCCCACCCGGCTCCAGAATGCACCTGTTCCCAGGCGTCCGGGAAAGGGACTTTGCAAAGGCAGTGGGGGAGGGACTGGGGGAGGGCCGGGACCATCTACTGTCCCATGTGCCAGGCGCAGCCCACAAGCCCTCCCGGCACCTCCCAGCCAGTACCCGTGTCCTGGGGCTGCCTGACAAAGCGACAAAGCCCCACAAGCTGGGGGCTTCATCAGCAGACATTTATTCTCTCCCAGCCTGGAAGCCTGAAGCCCAGAAGCCCGAAATCAGGGCGTAGGCAGGGCCACGCTCTCTCAAAGGCTCTGTGGGAGGATGCTGCCCTATATCGGCCAGTTTCTGGGGGCTTGTGTCCACATCACTGCCATCTCCGCCTCTGTCCTCACATGGCTGTCTTTTCACATGGCTGTCTTTTCTCTGTACGTCTCTGTGTGTCCTTTTCTGTCTCTTCTAAAGACACCAGTCACTGGATTTAGAGCCCACCCTCTTCCAGGATGACCTCATCTCCATCCTTATGTTAATTACATCTGCAAAGACTCTATTCCAAATAAGGTCACAGGTGGACCCTATTCCAGGTGGACATGAATTTGGGGCCAACCTACTTAACCCACTCCACGGCCCCAGCGTGCCAGAGGGGAAACTGAGGCTTGGGATGCTCGGGAGGCCAACGGGAGGCCGCTGGGCATGAAAGGCAGCATTGGGGTCCTGCCCGGGGCTGGCTGACAGCCTGGTCCCTTAGGTGACCCCCGTTCTCCTTGGTGCCTCTCTGCTAGACTCGGCTTTAAGATCTCCTGGGGCAGAAATGCGATGTGACCTGTCAGCTACATAAGCAGGAAGCACCGCCTTGCCCCCAGCACGCCGCAGCATAGAACCCGCAGGCATTATCCTGGCTAATCATGCACGTGATGGGTGCAAACCGAGCCTAGTGAACCCAGGCCAGGGCCCCACAGCTGAGAGGCTCTGGGGCCACGCCCTCAAGCCCGAGTCACATTTCCCACCACTCTGCCTGCTGAGGCCCTGGGTGGGCCGCGTTACCCCTCCACCAGCACCCAGCAGAAAATACCTCATCCCATCGGCTCTGAAGGGTCGGAGCAGGTGCTGGCAGCCAGCGGGGACTTTCCTGGCCTGATCTGACTTTCATTACTCACACTGGCCTGAAGCTCTCCACCCAGCGGACAGGGGATGGTGACCAATACCCCTGCAGCAAACCCCAGGGCTGCAGAGCATCACCGCCAGGCCCACGGGTCCCACAAGTGGGTACAGATGACGCATCCCAGGCAGAGAATGGCAGCCCCTCGTGCTTGTAAGTGAGAAGAGTTTCTCCAATCGTTTATTCTGCAGCTATCTACGCCCTGCGGCCCGTGCCCAGCTCAGGGCAGAAACGACAACAGTGTCGGTGACAATGACAGCAGTCCCCCGCTGAGCACTCAGCAGGCCCCATACCCTGCACCACACCTGAGAAAGGAACTGTCATGTCCCTACTTTCCCAACCTGAGAGTCAGATGGGGAACGAGGGGCAGCATGGTGGGTGACCCATCGAGGGTAACACAGAGCGAGCTCCCGGAGGGTCGAGGGGATCCCTTTAGAGGAGAGAACCCCGGGAGATTCAGAGGCCAAGGGGCGGCTAGTTGCTCAACAGCGGGAAGGGCGAGCCAGACAGAGGGAACAGCCTGTGCGAGGTTGGAAAGGGGGCGAGGCCAGTCCACATTCCCGGGAAGACGGGCACCCTCGGCTACACGGGGCTGGGGTGGGAGGTGGGCAGGGGCCAGGGCAACGGACACTCCATCGCAAAGCATGGGTCTCACCCTGAGAACGAGGGAGGCTGAGGGTTTGCCCAGGCGTCTGAAAGAGAATCGTAGCGGGAGGAGCTGTGGGTACCATCCATCCACTGGTCAGGCGCTGCTTTGGCTCTGGAAACAGCACGGCACAGGACAGTCACAAGGACCCTTGGAAGGACCTGCTCCCCCTCCCACGAGCCCCACCCGAGGACAGCGTGGGCGCGAACCCCAAGCCCTCTGGCTCCCTGGGAGAGCGCCCGGCAGGGGGCCGGCCCTCTGCCTTCGGGCCACACTTCCCCAGGGCCGGCATCCCCCCCACCAGGGTCCCCCGCGGGCCTGGTGCCTCCTGTCCACCTTGGCCGGAGGCCAGGACACCTGTGCATGGGACCATCTGCCACAACACTGCAAGAAGAGCCTCCCAGGAGATGGGCATGTTAGCGTGGGGGCTTCTTGGCCCCTGGGACCCTTGGGCAGAAATCAGCCCAGGGCCTGGCTCGCGCCTCTCCAGGCGTCTGCCCGACCCCCAGCTGCCCGCTCTCCCCCCCTCACACCGATGCCCCCATGGAGCTCAGCTCCCGCCGCACCTTGCTCCCCTATCTGTAGTGGCAGCCGGGCCCCTGGGAGGCCGCCCCTGGCTCGTGGAGACCCCTCCCCTACCCACAGAGGTCCAGGGGTCCAGAGACCCATGGCCTCCTCTCCCACGGCCTCAGGGGGTTCCCAGGGCCGAGGGGTGGAGGGGGCGCCTGAGCCCTGCCCCTTGCCCGTTGGCTCTGGGTGGAGGGCAAAGGAGAGGCAGCATGGCCAGCACCCATGGGGAGGAACGGCCGTGGCGCCCGGCCTCGTGGGAGCTTCCTGCCCCATGACCTCCCAAGGTCTCCGGTGTGGTCTGAAAGCAGAGGACCAGGACCCTGAGGAACTCACGCTAATTTCGGATCTGCACGTCCCATCCTGGGGCCGTGACTGGCTGGGGCTGGGCAAGCAGCCCTCTGCCCTCCTGGGCCCTGCGGGATGAGCCCCTCCTCCTCTGAGGACGTGGGGGGAGGGGGGGAGGCAAGATGTTGTTCCTGCCCCACCTGGAACCTTCCGGACTGATTCTCAGGAAGAGTCGCAGAGAGGCAGAGCCAGGCCCTGAAAACCCGTGAACGCCAGGGTCAAGGGCACGGGGGATATACACTTGGAGCCAGGTTCTCTGCCCCCGGCCAGTGGCTCCCAAACTGTTCCAACATCAGCGCCCAGAGAGAGGGGTACACCGGGCAGTGGCTTCCCAGGCACAGGTGTGCACACCTGTGGGATGAACTGAGTCTGGGCTCTCCATGCAGCCTCACCCTCACCAGGGTCTCCTCTGGGGGAGAGGGTTCTTCCAGTCCCATAACTTTGTGCTGGCTCACGCGGCTGGCTTGGCCGTTGCACGTGGGTGGAAATGACAATGTGCCAGTTCTGAGTCCAGGCCTAAGGCGGCTCCCTCTGCCCTACTGTGCTTCTGCCTCCTGCTGGTCCCAGGAGGAGGATATGAGATGGGGCAGAGCCACCCCCATGGAGCCTAGCCTGGTCAGCTGAGCCCCGGCCAGCCCACAGGCCCCCAGCAAGGATAACTGATTGCTGATTTCTGCCTCTGCGCTTTGGGGTTGTTTGTTCCAAAGTGTATTAGTTTCTTGTAGCTGCGGTAACAAACCAACACAGACTGGTAAAACAATAGTTCTGGAAGCCAGAAGTCCAAAATCGGTACCACTGGGCTGAAATCCAGGTGTCTGCAGGGCAAGGCTCCCTCTGGGCTCTGGGGGAGGATCCTTCCCGCCCCGTCCAGATCCTGGTGGCGGCCCAGCATCCCTGGCTCATGGCCGCATCACCACATCTCTGCCCCTCCCCCCATCCCACCCCCTTCTCCTCTGTGTGTCAGTCTGTAACCTCCCTCTGCCTCTCTAAGAATCACTGTGATGGCATTTAGGGCTCACCCAGATAAGCCTGGATAATCTCCTCAGCTCAGCGTCCTCACCTTAATCCCATCTGCAAAAACCCTGTTTTTCAAATAAAGCAACACTCACAGGTCCCAGGATGAGAACATGATATATTTTGGGGGGCCCGTTTTTCAGCCTACCACACGCAGCAATAGTTTATATGATATGTGAATACATAACAGATAGTTTTCACCAAACAATACCTAGCCTTATGACTCGGGATGTGCTCTGCTATTTTTCTTTCTTTTCTTTTTTTTTTTTTCCTGGGATGGGTCTGCTATTTTGCATTCAATTCAACCTCTTACGTAACAAAGTCTCCTGTGACCCACTAAACTGATTTCATGCCCACAAATGGGTCGCCACCTGCAGCGCAGAAAGTTCCATCCTAACTTCTACACCTGTACCCCTGCCAGGGTGGGGGACCCAGCAAAAGTGATGATGATTTAAAGAAAGGAGAGAAACGCGCTCTTTCTGCACACAGAGGGTGGGTGGGACTGACTGGTGCCTGGAAGGACCCCTGAACTCGAGGACATGGTCCAGGCCACCCTGCCCCATGGAGGGTTCTCCACCTGCAGCCTCCGCAGTGGCCTGCAGCCTCCGAGCATCAGGTGACTTGGGAAGGGGCCCGGACCAGAAAGGCAAGTGGGAGCGTGGTCGCAGGTGGCTTCGGTGGCTCCACTTGCTTCCCCAAGACCCTGACTCCCCCTCCTCCTGGCAGACCCCCTGCTCCACATTCCAGAATAACTCTTCACCCCTGACAGCCCCACACCACGTCCACTCATCGCTGTGCCATCACTAGTTACGCCCACTCACACGTTCATTTCTGAATGCCTCTTCAAAGATGAGAAACAAATGAAATCAAGGACTTGAAAACTTTACGACAGACGGTACAGATTTTCCAGGTGAGTTTAAGGCAAGAAAGACACTGGCGCTTTCTCAGGGACATAAAAAATTAGGTCTGAAGGGATCTGAGACATCGTCCAGTCCCCGGGCAAGGATTCCTAAGAGTCCAGCCGGGCCTCTCCTGAGCACCCAACCCCCAGAGCCAGCGGCGTGCTGGACGCCTCTACCTGGAAGCCCCCCAGGA